TTTTTGTCCCTCAACTTCATTAAATTTCACTTTTTTGTCCCTCAACTTCATTAAATTTCACTTTTTTGTCCCTCAACTTCATTAAATCACTTTTTTATCCCTCAACTTTATTAAATTGTACTTTTTTGGTTCATAAACTATTTTTTATACCTTTTTGGTCCTTAAATTATTTTTTACACTTTTTTAATCCATTAACTTTAATAACTGCACAATTTTGATAGTTTCATCATTTAAGCCATTAATTTCGTCCACTTGATATTTTTATATTTTTTTGATGATATGTATAACCTAATTGGAAAAAAATAATAACATAGATCATTTAATTAGAAATAATGATGACATGGATAAATAAAATAATATGTAGATAAATTTTTATATTTTTAATAAAAATAAAAAAACCTCTCCACCTATTTTCTTCCCTCGCTAGAAGAAAGAGAAAGAAAGAGGGGGAAGAAAATAGGTAGAGAGGTTTTTATATATTTTTATAAAAAATATAAAGATTTATTTACATGTTATTTTGTTTATCTATGTTATTTTTTTTAGTTAGATTATATGTCATAAAAAAATATAAAAAATACAAAGTGGACAAAGTTAATGACTTAAACTGATAAAAGTATCAAAATTGTGCAATTATTAAAGTTAAGAGATTAAAAAAGTGTAAAAAATAATTTAAGGACCAAAAAAGTACAAAAAATAATTTATGAACCAAAAAAGTATAATTCAATAAAGTTGAGGGATAAAAAAGTGAAATTTAATGAAGTTGAGGGACAAAAAAGTGAAATTTAATGAAGTTAAGGGACAAAAAAGTGAAACTCAATGAAGTTGAGGGACAAAAAAGTGAAACTCAATGAAGTTGAGGGACCAAAATTAGCATTTAACCAATTTTTTTCAAGTCGCGGGTGTGAAATGTGACGGAAGATTTGACAGAAGTTAATTTTCCGTCCAATTGGACCTTATTTGAGAATTTCGTGGAGTTCGGGAATTTCATTGAGTGCAATCGAAGTTTGGGTCCGAAATTACGAATTTGGTGTAAGTTCAGGTCCTTATGTCATATTTTTGCCTAAAAAAAATGGAGCAGGTGCAATAATTTTACCAGATAGACCGGCAGTGGACAGGACAGACTGCAATAGTCTACCCTCTTGATAATTTTGTTCCAAAATTTAGTTTCGAGAATTTTTATTTTTATTTTTATTTTTTATTCTTAAAAAGGAGAGTAATATTAAATGAGAAGGCAGAGTTATAAAATAAGCTAGTCCCTGGAAACACAGTTCCCATGATATCAGCATAAAGATACATGGTTAAAACTAATTTTGAGCTCCTCACCTTATAAAAATGATAAATTTTAGCCCCTAACCTTATAATATGATACTTTTAACTTTTTATCTTACAAAATTAGTAGGTTTTAACCCCTTACCTTATAAAATTAGTAGGTTTTAGCCCCTCACCTTATATTATGACACTTTTAGCCCCTTATCTATACAAATTGAAGAAAATAGCTCTCACTTAATATCATGTTATAATATTCTGTGAGTTCTGTTAGTTGACTGTGAGTTCTGTTAGTTAACTATTAGTTTCATTAACTGACTGTTAGTATCCATTAACATTCTGTTAATAAAACTAACACATAAAATTAAATTTAAATTTTTATGTTTTCTAAAATAAAATGCTAACAGATGTTAACAGTCAGTTAATAGAACCAACAAAATATTATAACCTAATATTAGGTGGGAGTTATTTTCTTTAATTCATATAGGTGAGGGGCTAAAAATGTCATAATATAAGGTGAAGGGTTAAAACCTACCAACTTTATAAGGCAAGGGGTTAAAACCTACTAAATTTGTAAGGTAAAAGGCTAAAAGTGTCATATTATAAGATGAAGGGCTAAAACCTATCAACTTTGTAAGGTAAGAGGCTAAATGTTGGTTTTTGCCAAGATACATAATAAGGGTTGAGGGCAAAGTTGTCAATATCATATCGATATACATATCAATTTTGTTATTACAACGGTACGTATCAGATACTGATATTTTTCAAGTACCTTTCAGATTTATCGTTATAAATATATATTTTTATAAATTAAATATCAAAATTTAAAATAATGATAAGAGAAATTAGTGTTTAAAAACATTATATTTCTATAAATTGAAAACAAGTTTAAAATCACCATTTTTAATCCCTCAATATAATATATGTATATTTTTCATCACTTCACTTTAACTTAAGAGATTAAAAATATGTATATTTAGATAAATTTAATAAAGTAACTGATAGAAGGATTAAAAAATACATTTTTTATAGTTGATGGACTAAAAAAATCCATAAAAAATTAAAGGATGGAAATTATGTAAAACTTAAAGTTAAGGACCAAAAATGAAATTTACCCTTTTTAAATTTGAATTGATTTGTACGGCCAAATCAAGTAAAGAACATCAACAAAATTTGAAACTACAATTGCGAACCAAGACAAAGGAGTGCAATTCGTGAACCAAATCCAATTTGTTGCGAACCAACTTAGATTGTAGTTATAAGGCCAAGATTTGGGCCTGCGATTCACGAACTGAGAAAAAGGAGCAGCAGCTGCACGCCTGCACCATCGGCGAAATTGGAAGACTACAATATGAATTTGTAGAAATTAAAAAGAAAGAGCAACGACGAAACCTAAAATTGCAATCTAAGTCCAAGATTTAGGCGTGTGATTCACGAACCAAGAAAAGGGAGCAGCAGCTGCACGCTTGCACCACTGACAAGGAGTCGAGCTTGAGATCGAGGATCGGAGGATGGAAAATTGGCAACACTTCAATTTGAAATTGGGCTTTTTCTTTTCTTTTTTTTTTCTTTTTTTTCTTTTTAAATTTGGGCATGGTGTGTATTGGCCGATACATCAAAATTGCGATCAATACATCGAATTTTGATCGAAACGAAATTTCCTCTTATATCATTTTAGTCAAGTTAAAAAACCGATACAAAATGGCATTGGTAACATTAGTTGAGGGACAACCCTCCAAAATATCAAAATCTTTCTGCTGGGAATAAGCTATAGCAGCAAGACGATCAGCACATATATTGCCCTCCATATACATGCTGTAGGTGAATGTGAGGAAGATCCACTAGAAGGGCCTTACAGTCAAAATTGAGAGAGCATAGTGGGTGATGATGGTTAGTACCAGTAGAGAGTAATTGGAAGGCAATAAAGAAATCCATTTCAATAATCTAGGATTGAATATCGAGTTGTTTAGCCATAAGAAGACCATCACAGATTTCCTAAATTTTAGTAGCAAGGCTTGAAGCAATACCAATCTTCCTAGATAAGCCTCTAACCCATTGTCCTTTATGATTGTGGATTAGACCTTTGTCGGTGGCTGGACCTGGATTATTGATGATTAAGCCATCAATGTTAAGTTTAAAGGTGCCAATCGGTGGTTTTTCCATTTAACAAGTCTTAGTGTCGAAGGCTGACTACCAAAATGTGGTATAAGGAGAACATACAAGAATTCAAAGATCTTGTCTCTAATAATTGGCAAATAGTGTTCTGGTCAAAATCTTGATCACAATAAACTTTCTTGTTCCTATGAATCCAAATCATCTAGAGGGCAAAGCAAAAAAAGGAACCCCACAAGGTAGGAATAATAGGGGAACGACCCTTTTTTATACATTTATTCTAGATCCAGTCAAAGAAAGGAGTACCATTATGGGGTAACTCAAAATCATCTTTAAAGAAAGAATTCTTGATAGGGAGGACTTGTGGACGACAACTCATGGGTGAGAACAAGTCTCACATGTAGTAGAACATAATGGGCATAATGGGCTATCGAGGATGCCAATATGATGTAAAAAATCAAAAGTCTTCAAGCGTTGGTGACAAAGAAGCCAAATGAAGTTATGAATTTTTGGGAGGGCATGTAGCTTCCACATCCACTACCAATTCCCCTTAAGGGAGAGGGATATTCTTAGCAATTTTGTAGGCTACCATAGAAGAGAACTGACCATTAGATGAACCCTTCTAAGCAAAAGAGTCACCTCCAAGTCGAGAGAAAGAAAATGAGGTAGCCTTGATGGTCTCCAATGTGTCATCGTCCAAGGGATGAGATATAATATTAGGATTAAGATAGCCTTGTGGGAAGGCATCCATAAGTGTGAGATTTGTGCCATTCGATAAGAGGGCTCTATAGAACTTTGAGGTGAGAGAATAGTCAAAAGCCAAGCAATTGAACCAAAATAGATGTCACTACCATCAGCTGGGATCCATTTAATACCTAGGAAGAAAAAAGGATTCCCTTTTTGGATATATCTTAGAATAGGAGATCCATGTGCAGGAAGTGTCCCTAGTCTACTTCCAATGCCATACTTAGAAGAATCACCTTACACCACAATTTCTCCTTGTCCATGAATAGTTGCCAATTTAGCTTGGCCATGGCCACTAAATTGGCTTCCATAGAACTCCTAATTCCAAGACCTCCCAAATGCTTACGAATAGTAACTTGATCCCAGCTAATAGCATGTATCTTGTGATGGGACGCATTAGAACCCCATAACAAGTCACAAGAAATTTTATCAAGTTAGGCATGAATTGAAGTAGGCAACATGTAGGATTGCATGTAATAATTAGGAATGATGCCAAGACTGATAAAATAAGGGTATTTTGACTTGCCATGGAGAAAAAATTAGCTTTCCAACCATCCAATTTGTTCTTGACTTTATCAAGGATGAAGGCATAATCTTGTTTCTTGGCTTTCTTGCCTAAGATTGGAATTCCAAGGTACTTTCCCAAGGAATCAGTCTACGAGAATCCAAGGATGTTACAAATAGCCTCCCTACAATCTTGAGTAACATATTTAGAAAATAGGATCTTGGATTTATCATGATTGATTTTTTGGCCAAACTTGGAACAAAAGAAATCCAGAACATAATTCAAAAAAGCACAATTATCAGGAGTAGCCTTACCAATGAAGACAAGCTTGTCAACAAATAAGAAGTGAGAAAGTATAGGGGCTTCTCTGTCCCACTTCATTGCCTTTCCAAAGCCCCATGGTAAGACCCTTAGCCATGGTAAGAGAAAGGAATTTCTAAGAACAAAAATATAAGGGGAAAGAGGGTCTCCCCTATTGAATACTGCATGAAGGTAGAAAAATATTAGTGCATTCTCCATTCAAGAGTACAGAATAAGAGGTGGTACACAAACAAGACATGATGAGTTTAATAAGATTTGGAGGAAAATTAAAGGCAAGAGTTTCCTTGATAAAACTCCATTCCAGGTGATCATAAGCCTTCTTAAGGTCAATTTTTACAATGAAATCTCCCTCCCAAGTGGCACTCTTGCTCAAAGCATGCACAACTTCTTGAAGAATGATGACTTTATTAGTGCTCCTTCTTTCGGGAATAAAAGCTAGCTTGGCATAGGGAGACTAAGCTACCCATAAAAGGTTAGTTTCAAGAGTTAATACTAAAAAAAAAAAAAAATGTTTTTTAATTTAAAATGCACAATAAAAATATATTATTTTCATTTAACTTTAGTAGTTTTATTTTGATTTTTTGATCTTTTGAACATAAATTGTTGATAAAAACATAACATATTATATAAACAATTAGAGGGTGATTCACTCACAAATCTTATATACTATATTTATATAGAACCTCAATAATTTATCTCCCTGTTCAATGATTAAAAATTTATTACGACTTTTTAGATAAAAAAATAATTATCTTTAATAAATATAAATAAATTTTAATTATTGAAAGTGAAAAAATAAATGATTGAGATTTTGTGTGTGATATGTAAAAATTAAGTATAAGTGGATTCCTATTCAAAAAGATTATTAAAAACTTTTTTCTAATCAAATAAAAATACTCAACAAAAACTACTTACATGAAAAAAAAATATTTTAATTGTTGTTTTTTTAAATTATTAGTGCTTTGTTTAATATGATTATAGTTTTAAATTTTTAGTTTTGGTTTCTATAAATTTGGCAACTCAAAATAGAAAACTCGTTTACTTTCATGTGTTGTCGCAACTTATTAGTATGATTCTTAAAGAAAGGAATTTTGTAATATATAGCTTAAGAGCATAGATTAAGGATGTATTTTTTGCACATTTCATCATTAATTTAGATAAAAAAAAAAATACAAGTTAGCTTTAATTTTATCAATCGTCCAATTAAAATGTTTCGCATGGCATTGATATTGAAAATAAAATTTACTTATATAGTTTTCTATGCAAATTAATGATGAAAATGTGTAATAAATGTACTCTTAATTTATACCCTAACAAACCCTTGAATAAATAAGACCAAAAATAATTTTAATGCCATTAAATGAGTAACTATTTTTACATGTTAGCGTAAAAATTTATTTTAAACAAAATTTTGTGTACTATTTTTTTTTAATTATAGTTTTCATCAATTGCAAAATTTAGGTTTAAGTACCATTTTGGTCCCTCAACTTTTCACTTTGATACCAAAATTGTCCCTCACCTTTAAAAAGTACTAAAATTATCCTTAAACTTTCATTTTCAGTACCAAAATAGTCCTTCTGTCAGTTAAATGACAGGTGGCACGTTATCTTGCCACAAAATCACTTAAACTTTTTAATTTTAACTACGTGTAATTCCAAGTAAAAAAATTTAATATTTTTTTATTATTATTTCATAATTTTCCAAAACTAAAAACCAAAAAATAATGATTTTACATTTTTTCCCTTTCCTTTCTCTCCCTCCCCCTGTCCCTTGCTTTTGCTTGCCTTCACTGGAATCTCGTTTGTTTTTTGTTCTCGAAAGCCTTGGGCTTCTGAGTTTTGCTGCTTGAGCCGCTGGGTTCTCCGGCTGCTCAAGCTTGATGGAGCTAGTGTGCTCCCTACTCCGACGACCACTTGCGGTCTGTCGGTGAACTAGGCCCCTCTGGTGGCTTTTTTGGGTTTTTGGTTGCTGTTTGTTATCTTGGGTTTGTTTTCTTTCTGTTGCTTGGTTGCCTGCAGGACCGACGGGAGGGAGTTGCTCGTTGGAAATCCCAGATCTGGTGGCCCTTGCCCAGATCTGGTCCCCACCTGCACGGCGTCCCCGCCTCAGCGTCCTGGAGACTTGGTGCGCACCTCTTCCATGAGTAGATTGAAGGGTGTCCCGCTGTTGGATCGGTCGGCCAGAGGATTCTGTACACACTTGGTCCTTTAAGGTTGTTCGAGTGCACAGTTCACCTCCCTTCGTCCACTTCGATCTGGGTCTACTCGAGTTTTCTCTCCAGATGTGCTTTACTTGTTTGCTATTTCTTCTTATCCTTTTGGATAAGCCTATTGTAGATGCCGTATGACGGTTTGTAATGAATGATATTCGCTATGTTAAAAAAAAAAAAAAAAACCAAAAAATAAAAACTTCATTTTCTTTCTTATTCTTTTCTCTCTCTTATTGATTTTTCTTCCTCTTCAAAACAAACAAACACAGATTTCCCCATTGATGGAAACTCATTAAGTGGAGATTGCTTTGGTTTTTTCGTGAGCCTCCATGCTTTCTTCCACTCGTTAGTTTTAGCTACTGCTATTGCTGCTTCTTCATCAAAACAAACACAGATCTGGGTTTTTCAAACCCAGATCGGGGCTTGAGACTACATTTCTCCATCCCTCCGCTTCTTTCCTTACTCGCCATTTCTCCTTTGAATCAACGGATACTGTTGTGAAGAAGAGCTTGAAGCCTGGCGTCCTGGCCCCTGCACGATTATGCAACAGCAACGGCTGGTATACGTCGTCACAGGTTCTCTTTAGTTTCGTTTAGTGGTATCTAAGGAGTCATCTAGGTTTAAGAAAAATCCAAATCTGGGTTTGATTTGGAGAGGAAGAAGAAGCGACAAGAGAGAGAAAGTGAAAGAGGAAGAATAGATGACATGGATGAAAAAAAAAATTCATTATTTTAAATTAAATAAAATAAAATGCCAACTCATAAAAAAAAAAGGTGCCATGTCATTAGTTAAGAAAAAAAATTGATTTGTTGGAAAGTTAAACGTGCCACTTGTTCATTTAACTGACGGAAGAATGATTTTGGTACCAAAAATAAAAATTTAAGGATAATTTTAGTACTTTTTAAAGGTGAGGGACAAGTTTGGTACCAAAGTGAAAAGTTGAGGGACCAAAATGGTACTTAAACCCAAAATTTATAAAAACTAAACTCAAAAGCTCAAAACCACAACTATATTAAATAGGATCTAAATTTTCCTTTGAAATTTATATTTAAAAAGTAAAAAAGTCAAATTAAGATTATTAAAATTGAACAGAGCAATATATTTACTAAAATACTCATAATTCAAAGAGTAATATATTTATTAAAATACTCATGAGAAACTTCTCTCCATGATAATTCATTAGGGGTACTTTGGAGAGTTTAAGTGGTGGATAAGTTGATAAAGATTTATTCTCATATATTCTTTAAATAATTAAAAAACTAACATCACTTAAATGCCTAAAAATACCTAGTTCAACATTTTTGTCACGCCCCAAAACCTAAATTCGAGGCGCGATAGACGCCGTGCACTCGTGAGACAGGTCTCACAAATGCACAAGGCTCGGAACTTAATCAATTCACAATCTGATACCATCAAAATCTGAAGATCAAATCTTAAAATCTGCTCTGATATCATAAATTCTCCAAATGCATTCTAGTTACAAGATCATGATCTATGTCTAAATCTATGTCAAATTTACAATATGGCTAGCCTTCTAACTCGTCACTTCCCGTGGTTTCCCCGTCCTGGGTTTCACTTCCTGAAATGGTGGACAAGGAAAAACTAGCTGAGATAAACTCAGTAAGTAAAATATGGAGTGTCCTTTATTAAACTTATAGCATGCCAACAAGTGTAATCACGAAAAACAGATATAGTACAGGAACGAAATAGATGTCTGCTCTATAGGTCACGGCCAGTGTTATAAACCTCCCACTGGCAGGCTACAGTATTTGCTCGTGTATAACCCCCACTAGCAGGGTTGAACGAACCAGTTCTATCAATAACATGTCAACATGTGCTAGCGTTTAACCCCCACTAGCAGGATCATTAATAACATAACCACATCAAAGACAAAACAGGCAGAAGTTAACAGACAAATCATAATTCACCAATCACTTTCAAATCATCAGGACAATCAATTAAACTTCCAAGTAGGCATGCTCAATTTAATGAAAAGCATAAACATTTTACTTCAAATCAGTCATGCTCGTGTAAAACGGGTTTAGCCTCGCCACTATTTCAAAAACAAATCAAAAAATGCTTTTAAAAAACTATATGGGCATTACCATAAATTTACTTACCTCACTTGCATAAAACCGAGCACTCAATCTCAGTACTAACTGACAGAACAATCGGGAACCTAATCAAAATATTTCAAGAATTAATTCCGCACCACCACAAATTCAAACTAAAATCATCATTATGACTACCTCTAATCATGATGCTATTTCTATTAGTCTCCACATTATCAAATATCTCCAAATTCGTTCTTATATTACAAACTAATCATTTAAATCCCTGTTAATTGTTGACCCTCGGTGTGCGAACAGTACCGTGAACAGTACTTCACTTCCAAAAATTGGCCAAAACCCTAACTAATTCACGAGATTTTCTCTCCAAAAATCACAGCAACTAATTAACTAATTTTCTACATGAATTAAGCTAAATCATGGTCTAAATACTGTCAAATTCATCCCCATTTCTCACGGGCAGCACATGGAGAGCAATAATTCATGGACAACTCAGCAGCTAATGAATAA